TCAGCGCGACGCGGCCATTGCATGTGCTCAAATTCAAGCGTACCGTATATATTCTATACTGTATATCCATGTATACATATATATATATATATAGAATATTACATAGTATAACGTTTATCGATTAATATTTGGATTTTGCCTGTACAAAAAAGTTATATAACTACGTTAATTACGCTATTAGTTACATAGATACAAAGAGGTATACATCGTACAGATGGCGCGCGCATGCGGCTACCCAAAGACGCCCGTGTCAATTTCAACCCATACGTCAATCGGAACAGTCCGAAATTGCCGAGTTTGAAATTAAAAAAAAATTATTACGCAAAAATTACAGCGACCATTTTTTTATACATATATATACACACGCACACATCCCATTTACATAACTTCGACACGAGACGCTTGTACACCCACATGGCTTCAACAGCTATTTGACACAAATACACATAACCAACCTTGCTCGTAAGGATGAGAAGACAACAACGATATTTTTAGTTATACGACAGTGTAACGCGTAGAACGAGCGACAATTGTCTTGAATAATCGTAATTAATAATAATAATAATTAATTGATAATTAATAATAATAATGATAGGTAGGTTCGCATGCACTGTTCATTCTCTAACCAAAATACGTCGTAATCGCGAGCGCAAAAAAAAAGCATTTTAGGTTAATCCCGAGAATTAAGTCAATTAATTAATATGCATTAAATAGGAACACAAGTTGTATGTAGTTTATCCACCCGAAACAAAGGAACTATGAGTTATTAATTATTAAGGAATCAGGTAAACCGATATTACGTGATAATATCATATACAGGGTTATTCGGTACATACGTAACGGCTGAAGTTGGTTCTGTCATAGGAATCGAAAGGATAGGCTGACAACTTCAGGTGGTGCATTTGATCTGAATAACGTTATATGTATAGTTTTTCCACGAGTAAAAGGTCCTGTCCAGGGGACACTTATACGTTGAAAGTCATAGGAAGGTGGCCCTTTGAAAGGAGCGCGTTTATTCGTGGACGGACTATAGGTATAGTCCCGTGCATATCGTCCAGCGAAAAATTTAATAAAAAAAATATCAACTGTTTGGTCATCGACGAAGAAGAAAAAGTAATCTGAATTATTGGTATCTTTTTTGAACTTTTCTCGGTTGTTTTGATTCTCTAGTTTTTATTTTGTTGCTTGAAAGAAGAAAAAAAACAACGTGCAACGAGAAAACGGAAACTGACGTGGTCCATCGTGTTTAATCCCCGGAGAATAATTTTCTTTTTCTTTCACGGACGAAATCGCAGCTGTCGAAAAAGTTTTCTCTTGTTTTACGTGATCTTGTTTTGACTTTGTTTTTCTTTGCTATATCCGTCCCGCGCGTTACTTTCGCTGCCCGTTAAGTGCGGCTTTCCTCTGGAGAATTTTGATTCAAGGATTTTTTTTATACTCTAAGTTCAGCAATAAGTGTACGCGAAAATCCCGATCGTTCAAAAAAGAAACTTATTGATTGGATCCAGCACGGACACTAACTATGGACTCGATACCTTTCCTTCTTTGTGGATATTTTGGAAATAATTTTTGGTAATTTTTTTTGTAATCACGCGTCTTTGTATGCAGTGGTTTTTCCCCTTTTTGGCATTTTGACTATTCCAGATAATCGATAGGTTAGACAGTAACCAAGGACTCTGCTTTATCGTAAGACTAACGATGCGCCTTATTCTTGCTTAGGGACGATTTAAATTAACCCAAAAATCTTTTCTACACAAGTAACTCGTTAAAATTTGCATTTGGCGATTCTTGGGATTTTGCGCATACGTGGCGCAGATTTCATAATTTCACACGTAAAGGACTCGTCGACATAAATTTCGTCAACATATGTTGGATCGCGGGAGGGAATTTATGTACATTTGTCAAGAATTTTGTGGGATTGGCTGATTTGCTGACGGGGGTGAATAGGTCAAGACCCTTGCTGCCCTCTGTCGTCCTGTTCGTAAATAGGCAATAAATATATCTATTTTTTATCGTCTACCCATACTCCACCTCCCATGAATTATTACGAGAATTCCAAAAATCTACGATAAGCATTCCATTTGCAATACAAAGAAAAGTTAAAGAAAATTTTTAAACGTATCCTAAAATTGACTTTTTTGAAAACAATATAAAAACAGACGGAAACACGTGGGCGGTTTTTGAAAATAATTTTCTAAATACAAAGAGCAACCTTTCAAAATAAATCTGTAGCAAGAGACGAGCGAAAATTGGTCGGCATGCTTTTTCAAGGCTCTGAAGCTAGCAGCCCAAAGTAACAAACTTCGTATCTGACAACTAAGTGAATTTTCAGTGTACCAACCGAGTCTTTATACAACCCACAAAAAAAAGGTCTTAAATCGATAACTATCAAACAATTTTTTTCTAATAGCTACATCGTCTTCTGTACGCAAGGATCAAAAGCAGATCATCTCCAATACGAAAAATCCTCATTGTCGTACAAGAATGTAACCTGGCTGACTTGGCATGCGCTACAGAGTATCATGTAACAGGGGATTAAGCAGGGTGGCGAGATGAAAATCTCAATCGCGCTCGATGGAGCATGATCAGAGGGTCGTCGTAAGGTATGAAAAAGCAAGCAACACCAGAAGATAGAATGTCTATGTAACGCATGATACTCGGGTAGAAAAGAAGATAGAAACCAAAATAACGTGAAGGATTTGAACTTCCCAAACAAAATTTCAAAAATTTATAAGCGTAAAAACAAAAATCACCCTTGCAGTCGAACAAGACGTGCCTAGGAAGCGAGGTGAATTTTTGAAAAATCCATAAACCCAAAAAATATTTAAAAAAAATCAGGTGTTGACTACCGAGCAATGAATGTAACCAAGAGTAAGTCCCAAATTGTCGTTTTGTTCAAATTTCTCCAGCACCTTATAAAAGGCAGCGAGGATGGTCGAAATGGCCAAGAATGTCAGAAGAGAAACGAGAGCAATTTAGAGCTGTACATTCCGAGCGATATTTGCACAAATGCAGAGAAGCGGAATAGCTTTTGTGCCCATGGACCTAGGGACCGGGTTATATTTTCAGAATGACGCGGTACCCCAGCCAGAGGATCCTGAGGACTTCGGACAGTGAATGAGTCTCCCTGAACCAGACCTGTTTGCCCTGGTCAGAATGCGTGCGGCATTCTATAGAACAATTGCTCTGGGGTGAACTCTTGGCTACTCTCTCGTGCTCTCTTGGAGAGCAGCGAGAGAGAGAGAGAGAGAGAGAGAGAGAGAGAGAGAGAGAGAGAGAGAGAGAAAGAGAAAGAGAAAGAGAGAGAGAGTTACAAATTTGCATGGCGACCTCGACATAAATCAGTTGCATTCAAATGGCGGTAACCGGGTGCGGGTGCGGATACGACAAATTGCAAATTGTACGTCACCCTAGACAGGAGAAGGACGCTCCAGATTTTTACTTTCATTTCCCATTTCCATAGCCGCCGAGACTATGGGACGTTTAAAAAAAAAGTCTCAGCGAAAAAAAAACAAAGAATCTCAGGACAAGTGTAGGAAAATTACGTAGCAGGCTATAGCGGTGGGGATAGTGTTCTGAAAAACCCGCCATAACGGACTAAATAATAATTAAAACAAAAACCAACTTGTTAGCATTGTAAATTTTCGAAAAAACATACGTACTCTTTAAATATGTACATGTATTTATAACAATTCTTTCCGAAGTTTTACAAGGTCTGGTAACAAACGCGACAAAAACGCACTGCCGCGACGAATAATATAAAATAAATAAATGCGACAATAATAATAATAATAATAATAATAATAATAATAATAATAATAATAATACAATAATATTAATAATAATAGTAGTAGTAGTATTAATAATAATAGAAGACGATAATAGTGATCGCTCCAAAACATTGAAACGATCGTCAATGCAAAAGGACGTTGAACAAGGATAGATGGGGATCACCAGAATGGGAAAGAGAGAGAGAAAAAGTAAAGAGCAGTAAATTAAGAAAATGATAAGAAAAAAAAAAGTAAAAACAAAATCGAAAAATTTAAGTGTAAAAGCGAGTACTGTTCGACGTGAAGAAGCAAAGAGAAACAAGGTGGATGCGTGTAAAAAAATCTACGAAGTTTGAAAATCCGCAAATTCCAAGCAGCGATATTTGTTTTGAATAAAAAAAAATGAATCTAGGTAATTACCTCGATAATTGCAAGAACGACAGAGGACGTTAACTAGGACTGCCGTCACTCTCCCAGCTACTTTTATACTGTCAGAGGAACTTGTATACCAGTACACATTCATTCCAAAAAATGTCTCTCCCTTAAACCTCGTCGTCGCTGTCACGGATATATCTCGAAAAAACCGAAACACACTACAACGACTAACTATAAGTTCCTTCGAGAGCGACTATTATAAATATATGTATATGTATATATGTACAGAGGATGAGAGTCTACCTAAAAATCTAGTGAGAGGATATTGAACCATTTAGAATACATATATCCCCATGCTCGTATGTATTCTATATTTAAATATATATATATATATATATATATATATATATATATATATATATTACTTTTAATATTAAATATACGAAACGTATCCCTGATTTCGTGATTCTTTGTCACCTGTCTTAAGTTACGCAAGCACACCTCCATTTTGCTTTTTTGCATTCAAGAAAATAATAGTTAGCCCCTCTTCCTCTCTCTTTCTCTTTCCCGTATGCTGTTCCGCAGCAGCTGATTAACCGATGTATTCTATACTGTATGTTTAATATATATATATATACTATATATAAAGTTTCTTAACAGTAGTGACTGTGAACCGGTGTGTGGAGTGATTAATTAGTGAGCTGCGAGGTGGGCCCGTAGGAGGAATGGGCCTTATTATTATAATTACTACTACTATTATGTAATTTTCGAGTTTACCTAGTTTTCGTTTCCTTATAAAGTGATGAGCCCACCCAGACCACCCACCCACCCATCCCATTCAGTTAACATGCACGTATGAGATTTGGCGTATTCCTCGAACGGGTCACGTAAATGTATTATCATTTAAATCTTTTTACCTAATCCTTCAATAATCTTTATCTTTGTTTATCGTTTACCAGTGTCAGAGGGTAGTTTTCTACGTAGTCGTGATCTACGTACCCCTGCGATGCCACTAGGAGGCGTGAGCGACGTTGGTCGAGGTCCCCGTAACGTGGTGCCTGTACTTGGTGTGATGCTGCTGAAGGAACAAGGAACTGGGACTGGCTTCGGATACGTCGAGCTCCTCGTCCTCCTCTTCGTGGAGAGTGTCGCTGCTGGGGCTGCGACTGAGGGGCGAGTCGCCGCTACTGTGCGAGTGGGAATGCGGCCTGTGCATCCCCGTCGACATGGAGAGGTCTTCCGGTTCCGTTTGCTCAGGTAGATCAGCCGGTATGCCCGATAGGTTCAAGGGCATCGGCATCGAGGTGCTGACCACTGGGCTAGGTAGTTCCTGATGATGAACTGGCCTCCTAACGGGCGTTATCACCTTCCTGGGTGCCACCTCAGCTGGCTCATCCATCTCCACGTCGATGTCGATGTCGATGTCTTCCTCCAGGTCGTCGCTAGCCAAGGAAGGCGCCTGGGAACGTACCGTCCCGGAGCCGCATTTGTGATGCATCAGGTGGTGCCTCCTGCGGAATCGCATCTGACAGTGTTCGCACTCGAACGGCTTCTCACCCTTGTGTATCAGCAGATGAGCCTTCAGCTGATTCGAATCGCTGAACTTGGCGGAGCAGAGCTCACAGGCGTATGGACGTTCTCCGGTATGCACACGCAGATGACGACGAAGATTTGCGACCTGGACGAACTGCCTGTCGCAATGGCTGCAATGATAAGGCTTCTCACCAGTGTGAAGCCTCATGTGAGTCTTGAGATGATGGTCCCGGGTGAATCTGTAGAAGCGACACAAGAAAAGTTCCAATACGTTGATTAGCATTATTTTTCTATACCCAAATTTTCGTTATTAACCTGATCATCGTACTCATTTTTAGGTCATGTTCAATGCATCGAGAAGTCAATGAAAAATAATCCTGAACATGCTCACCTCTTGTGACACTCCGGACACTCGAAGGGCTTCTCTCCCGTATGGGTACGCTCGTGATTCTGTAGGACGTGTTTGTACCCAAAAGACCTGGAGCAGACGCCGCAGGTGAAGACCTTGTCTCGGGCGTCCTTACCAGCCTCAGGACTGACCGAGGTCGGCGGACTCAGCGGTGCCGGACCCTCGACGCTGCTCTGATGGGTGCTCTCAATTTTACTTCTGGTAGCTCTTCTCTTGGTAGCCTGACCCTTCTTCGTGACCCTGTCGCCGCTGCTGCTCACCACGTTGTTATTATTGTTGTTGTTGTTGTTATGACTGCTACTGCTGCGTCGCGACGTGGACTTGCTGCTCAAAGCCGGCGACACGGGTCCAGGGGAGTGATGAAGTGGCGACGGGGGCGAAGAAGCCGCGGGTGGCGCCCAGCCTCCGAAGAGGGTCTGATGATGTCGATAAAGACTCGGACTTGCCGCCAGGGTAGCATGTAGCGACACTGGTATTCCTGCAGCCATTAGTGCTGCCGTGCGACTCGCGGCCAGCAATTGCTGAGGCGTTAACATTGATAAGCCTGCGGCTGCTGCGCCCATCCCGGAGAACATTGCTGAGGAGGTGTTGTTATTCAACGGCGGCGACAGGGGCTGCTTTTCGGCGTCCTGCTTCATCTCGAGATGTTGCGAAGCTAATATTCCTACATGGACAAAACAAATGAAAAAAAAATATAATGGAATTTTAATACATATCGCTATCATCCGTTCAGCTGGATATGAAGGATCAATATACATTCGAACTGATCGATTATTTACGAACTGCCCTAGGATCCCTTCTGATTCAATTAATAATTCCTAATCTCTCAATGTGAATTTGATGATTTACTTAATTTTGAAAAAAATTTTCTAATCATTCAAAAAGTGACACATCATCGTATACGTAATAAGGAATGTAAGGGCGTACACGTACGTGGAATGTATGTAGGGAAGTGAAAGTGAAAGTAAAATAAGGACATGTTACAAGAAGTAAATTTCTCTCTCTTCCTCTTTTACTTCTATTATCCCACCTAGTTCCTCCCATACCAAGCTTATTCAGCCAAGTCCCTACCCATAAAGGTCGTATGCTCGTACGATCTCCCCTGCCTCCTCGGCATCCCCTCCTGCCACTCTAACACGCGTCACAACACGTCCCTCACACGTGAGGCTAACTTGGCCCTCCATTCACCCTCACGATCGTATACGCAACGTTTCCTCCTCCGTTCATTCAGCTCGACTACCCTCCAGCAGGCTCCACTCCATCCCACGCGCCGCCACCACGCGGCGCCATTTTTACTCGGCACTGTATAGAGGCCAACGACTCTCCTCTTCGCTGTATATATATATATTGTGTACCATGCGTGCATCTTATCAGAGTCAATATAACTGAATCAACCTGTAGCTGGTGAGTCGTTGGGTACGAAGTTCACAGGATATGGAACTCGCAAGGCATGGCGAGGTCAGAGGTCATTCGGACGAAGCGATTTGTAGTCATAATGGGGTATGGGATTGAGAGTATTTTTTTAATTTAGAAATGTACTTAACTTTTGTGATTTACTTTTTTTTTTGTATTAAGGGTGACTATCTGACAAATTATTTTTGGGAAAATTACTGCCGTTAATCTTATTGGCTTAGACATCGATTGGCGGACGCTGGTATTAGAGGCTGGTGCTGCTTTGACCTTAACGAGCTGAGGTTGTACTGGGGTCGGGTTCAAATTAGCTTTTGCAGTTGATGCTAAGTGGCTTAGGCTTATTGGAATTGATTTGAATCATTGTTAATTGTAACTTTGAATATTCTCAGGGCCGTACTCACTCGCAATGGGTCCTTACGCGACGGATGACATTGCATGAAATTGATAACAGATAAGGACTATTGCTTTGCGATTAGTCGAACAAATTTGAGGAATTTTTCCTGGTACCGCACAGAGATAAGATGTGGACAAAGCGATACCACTTGTACCGTGTGCGCGGTATGGATGTCCTAAGACGACTTTGACTTCGATACTGACGTCGGGACGCCCCACGTCGACTTGGATGGTCGCGAGTGAAAAGCTTTTCCGAAAATTGAGTACGTATCGAGGGGCGATATTTCGAAGGGTAGTGTACGAGAATGACGTCACGGTCTGAGAAGGGGCGAAAACACCCTTAAATTCTCTACAAGGGCTTTTACAAGATTGAGAGAGACTCAAGGGGTAAGGAGGGTGTGTTGACCAAAAGTTCTTTTAACGTAGGGGATGATCTTTGGATTATAAAAATTTTTTAAATCCCATAAAACCGATTATACGATTGTATGCTAGACTTTTGTTATGTTTTACATTTATTGAAAAATCAAATGCGATTTTATTTTTCAACGGATGTCTAGAGCTTGAGAATAAGTGTGGTACGACTGTGCCCGTAGTTTAAGGGTGCTTTAGTAGTGGACTGCCATTTCGTATATCCTAGCGACAGTTTTTTGTTTTTCCTTGAAAATAGAGGCGAGTCAAGCGGCCATGTTCAACCGGCACGTACTAATTAATAGGTCGTTAAGATGGGGTTGTAATGAGCCTCGTTGAATCAATAAGGGTGCGTTGGACTCCCATAGTACTCCACCCTCAGGATCCCACGGCGTCGAACAATTTTCCTTCGTGGGCTACAATCGTTGTTTCCCGGCAACACGCTGCGGACCGCCTTCCGCCCTTGCATCCCTTTCCTAATTGGTCGCAAACTCCCCCCCGACATTTTCACTTCGAATTTTCTCTCACAAGCGGGGCTTGTCTTTTTACTTTGCCCTCTCTATGTATAGCCTATAGAAAATACGGAGAAAGTATTATTGGAATACTTAGAGAGACGGAGTTACGGCCATTTGCGTAATACTATAAAAATATGTTATGCATCACGTATAGGTAATGTTGCTGAGCCGATTAAACTTTTGATCTCGACGATAACTTTTTTCACCGGTGTTCAGGAACATTCGGGAAGAAATTCTAGAGCGTATTTTATTTTTAGTCTCTGACATAAATTTTGGAGAGACAAAAATGTTTGAGAGAAATTACTATAGATTGTACGAAGATTAAGAAACGTTCAGAGCGTTGAAGTTCTTCAGTTTTGAAGCCAGTCGGGACGGTTTGGATTTCGCGCGCGATTCTACGAATGTTTACAAAACACTCGAGCTTACCCGACGTGTCTGAACGTCGAGGACAGAGAGGACATTCGTCCCATTTATCGTTCCTCGCAGTTTCTCTTTTCTTTTTCTCTCTTCATCTTACTTAAATTCATGGGAACACATATTTTCGAAATCTCGAAGAAAACTTGGTGCAAAAAACGGTGGCAAAAAAAGCGGGCGCCTCCTAAAATCCGGAAACCCACACAGATTCGCAACGGGACCTTCCTCGTTCGTAGAGCGTTAGATCTTACGGATGCAACACCCAGAAAAGTGGACACGGCAGAGAGAGAGAGAGAGAGAGAGAAAAGGGCACAAGCAGAATACGAGTAGAAAAACATAGCGAACAGAAGGAGAGGACTTTGAATTTAAAAAATAAATTGCCATATTAGTTTTCAAACTCACCTGCGTTAATCTGTGCCTCCTGTAGATAAGAAAGTGCCATTCTACGATCCGTCTTGACGATTTTCACTTTGACACTCCATCCACTACGCTGGCACACGAAATATTACCGCACTCAAAGAAGCAGGATTTCAAAAAACAAAATAAATAAAACTAAAGGGAAAACGTCGAGAACGCCACTTGCACAGTATACAAACATAGGTATACCATTAAACAATGTACCATAACAGTACGTTTTAGGTGAAAAATAAAAAATGTCTCAAATCACACAGGTATCCTATTCGTATGCACGATATCGAACTGAGAGGTCGATATGAGACAAATTAACTGATCGATACGAAGGAAAGTCAGTCCAATTTGTGTCTTGATAATTATTACGTGAAGACAGAGTCCTGGTCGCGTAGCGACAACGATGACAATTTGAATCGCAGCGCGTCGACTGGTACTTTGACGGTTATTATTTTTTCTCAACGGATCTTCTTTTTTTCCACGAGGGAGTCTTGCCGTCACGTGAACTAACTCTAGGATTGCGAGTACAGGGTGGGAGAAAACTACGACGTGGACGACGGAGACGACGTGTGACGGCGCTCGATGACGGAGGACTATGACTATGAGGACTGTCGGGAATAACGGCAACGACTACGATGTTACTCTGGGCTGACCTAACCCAATACTAACTGACAGCGGAGTTGCGCTCACTGTAGTCAAACATCCCCCACCCTTCTATTTTACCCTCTCCAGGCAACCGTTCCCCACCACTTTTCATCCCTAAACTCGCACCCTTGGCTGCGCGAGTCGAACGGCAGTGCACCCTTAACTGAAAGAGAGAGAGAGAGAGGAAACGAAAGGAGATTGATGGAGAGGGAGAGTATAAGAGAGAGAGAGAGGAGAGAGAGAGAGAGAGAGAGAGAGAGAGAGAGAGAAAGAGAGAGAGAGACAGAGAGAGAGAGGGTTCTTAAGAGTAAGAGTGACCAGTAGAGAGAGGGTCTTAGATGGTTTCCGGAGAGTCGGAGTGAAAGCATCGTAGAGAGGTTTGCTAAAAGAGAGAGGGAGAGAGAAAGAGAGAGAGAGTAAGTTTGACCAGAAGTGAGAGTGAGAGTAAAGGAGTGGCGGTGGGTACATGGGTACGTGGCAGTGGGGGTGAACCTGCGACCGTGATCTCTAAGGGTGGGACATAGGATGAGAGACAGAGAGAGTATATTTTACCTTACTAAGAGAGAATAAGGGCGCTGAACGTGAAACTACCACGAAAGGGAAACCTGCGGCAGTTTTGCCACACACATAGAAATTCTATCTTTCTTGTTTTTTGGTCAGAGATAGAGAGTGGGACTGAGTGAGGAAGACCAGGAAGAATACTTTGGGGATGAGACTGGATGCACGTAATATTCGACGATGCCAAAAGTGGACGTGCATTGCCCTTGCTTTCACTACACTATTTTGAGGGTAGAATCATATAGATGAAATTAGTCGCGGAAAGGTACTTTAATCATGCAAATAAAGTTTCTGTAATTTTTGTAAAAAGATTAAATGCCAGCAGATAGATTTAAAAATTACGAAATACCTACCTGCATGGAAATAAACGTTTGAATCGTAATGGCAATGTTCTTATACCTTTAATTAAATATGTAATTATATATATATTAACAGAAGTGAATTTCCTGACTTTACGTTGGGATTAAGCGAGGCACTTTTATACACCAAAAGATATATTCCCCTCAGACGTTTTCATTCAATTTTTACGACTCGGTTCCTCGCTGCCGTATTCCACTGCGACGGTGAAATCATTAACGGAAATTAGAGGGCTAAAAGTCCCGAATCATGAAGATGACCGTTTAAATGGGCCACGTCCTCGCGTTTTTCGTTCTTTAATAATGATGTGACGCTTCCCCCGGGTGAGCATGAAATTTTCGTATATTATCACGCGACCGCTATGCGCATGCGCGTCAGTATCCATTATGGCGCCGAGATGCCACATTATACGGGCTGTTAATTGACGGTTAATAAGAGGAACGAAAAACTTTGGATTGGATGAGATTATTGTTATTACAAGGTATCACCGACTCCCGTTATTATCCTCTCGTGATTATATGCGCATATTCTAGTGCTTCTGCCATGTAGTATAAGTCTTCACGTAAACGTCGACAACTACGTTTGCCGGGTCAGAACATTTTCGTTCTCTCGAGACTCTAACCGTCTACGATCGACAATTTTTGTATTATTTCCATCTACGTTCCTATTATTTTAATATTTCAGGAACGTCACTGTTGAAAATGATGCTACTGACAAAGGCATAACCTCTATTCGCCTATGGCACCAATGCCTGTTGTCCACGCGTGGCTTCGAGACGTCCGAGCTTCTCGTACGAGTAAGTACTTTATTCTTAAAGCTCAGTCGACACAATAACTTAAAGAAATGCAATGAATACTATGAAAACTAGAATATGCACATAAGGAAGTAAGATTGCTCGACCAATCTAACCTAATCAAACTAACCTAGCCTAATGTAACGTAACATACAAGGCGCAGCGTATAGAACAGAACTTCCACTGTTCTTCCTTCCGTGGCGGATCGCTGCATCAACCCCCCGGAACTGGGGCTGCTTTTTCAGGGTGAAACTACGGGATCCCCGTGTGCCTATATGCTGTGAATGTAGTAGTATTCGTTGAACCTCTCACCTGCCCACGGGGCGTGCGCAGCGCGTGCCGCCAAAAACTCACAAAACCTCGATAAAAAAATGTTCTGTTCTCTATGGCAATGGTAGTGGAAGAGCACACGGCCACGTATGAATATATATATATATATATATACACACCACTCGAGAGATATACCCATACTACAGTGTATATAGGGGTAGTACTACACCCTGTCAGCCGCCTGTCGTCGCCACAAGGAAAATAAAAAAGAGCCACGTTTCTTTTTTTCTGTTTGTTGCGCAAAATCGAAAGCTAAAATCTTTATGGGTTTAATACAGAAAAAATATTGACGTATTTTACGTTTGGCACTTACGTAAATTCGTTTTATCCTAAATTAGTAGCTTTTATCGTTAATTGCTACTGTATACTTTGATTTTGTATAATTAGCATTATTTCGTTGTCATTCCTGTAGATACTTTTTAGGGCGACGGAGAAAATACTTAGCTTTGAGGGTGGGTCAGCAGGAGTCAGGGTGTAGGGATATTTCGTGTTTGAGAGTACTTTTTTTTAATTATCAATGTCTTTCGCAGAATCTTCAGAAAGACTTTTTCTTCCTCCGATTTTCCACCCCAACGTTTACGGCTGTGTTCTTTATTACTAACGAGTCTCGAGATTGTTAATTAAGCGTTTGCAAATTAAGACTCGCGTAATTACGATTAAGATTTGGTAATGGTTGGTTGAAAACTCGTCTAAAGACTCTTTCTCCTTTTACGAAGATACCCGAGAGAAACCGAAGACAATTTTCATACACGATGCTCGTTGCATGATTCACGTTTTTCAGTATGACGATTTCGGGATATTTCCCGCTAAGGTACTTCGCCTAAAGTACCTACCCCTACGTAGGGTGATTATAAGGAATCTGGATATAACGTTTTTGTACGGGAGTAATAGTAAGAAATAGAAAAAAAGGGGGGAAGGTGGAGAAGACGAAAAAGATAAAGGAAAAAGTATCCCTTAACAATGACTAGATTATTACCAATCATTACGACGCTTAACCCTTGGCGGCTACGATGTAAAAGCGTGAATTTCTACCTGGCAGAGAAACCCATTGTGAACGGGGTGGTTAACCCTTTGCTATACGTACCTGCCTACCGTGCTTCAATACCTATAGTGCATCGCTTAGGGTTAAACGCAAGGTTGATGCTCGTGTCGAATTTCATAGAGATTCAAAGGTGAATTTTTACGGAGGTGGTTATTTTAATTAAATTTGACGCACCCTGTATTTTGAATGAATTTGAAAATATTTTTAAAAAATGTTAAGCAACTCTTATTTCACACCGTCTTAGCTACTCGTTACGAGGATACTGAATTTCGTAGCGTAAGATTTCTCTTTTTGTCAAGCACTCCTGTTTCTTAGGGGCTGGAGTGAAAGCAGATAATTTTCGGTCTTGCCATAAGGTGGAATGTCTGGCCCAGAACGGTAAATGTCGTACCTTAAAAATTGTTGCTCCAAAATAATATAACTGCCGGTCGCCATGGTATTTCGCTCGCCGTAAAACGGACCCGTGGGCTGTGAACTGGATTTTAGGTATATACGATAGGTTTTGACTTTGGAATATGGCGCTGTTAGGACCACGGGACACGGACGCTCTTTTGGGGCCTGATTGTTGGCGACGTTTTACGTGCGCTTTGAGGTTATGGTGGTAAATGGTAAGGAATAAAGGTAGAAGATAGAAGGTGATAATCAAAGAAGGAGAAAGAGAGGGAATGAGAGGAGAGTCTTGGGGTAGGTTAGTTAAGGAAATAAAAATGGCAACGAGAGTGACGCTATGTGAATGTAGGAAGGAGACCGACTGCTAGCTGAGTATTGCTCCAGATTTGCACAAAAGGGCCCTAAAATTGCTGAGGCCCTTTTCCAAGTCATTCCGAAGTCTTCCAGCCGGTACCCAAACGATGCTTAGAACTGTTCGTCGTCATTTTAGGACTTTTATCATTTTATTGCAGAAATCATCAGGTACAAAAATAGTCGAGGTTTTGAGACCCAACGAGAGGTAATGCAGACTCGCCCTCTAATTTCTTGTAATTTCTCTCGTTTCTCTTAGCTTTCCTTATTCTGCAACAATTTGTCTTTTACCTAGAACGTACCGAGCAGTCGGCCAAATTTGGATAAGAGGGTAAAGCTGATTAGCCATGTAAGGTAGGACAATTTTTTTTTGCTACAAAAAAATATTTGTTTGATAATCAACAGTATTGGGATTTACCCTCTTTTTTCGATTAACAATTATGGTTAGGGTTTTTGTAAAATATTGCTTGTAAAATGGCAAACAGCTTAAAGGCTAATCCGTGATAAAATTCTTATAGTTTTGTTTGCGTATCTCAAGCACGTTGCTGTTGTTGCTGTTGCCTATCGCTTGCGACTACAATTTTCAAGATTTATTTTATCTGCTGTACGCTTTTTTGTTTTCATTTACATTTCTTTATTTTTTTTTTGTTTCAATTCTTTTTTTTTTAGTTATTCGCACGCGACACAATTTTCTTAAAAGGTGGTGGGTGGGAAAAAAGGATCCGTTAGGAAAAAAAAGAGATACAGGCGTTAAGCTGCAATTCATCCTGAAGGGGGATTCGGCAATGCTTGTCTTGCTTTGACTTTATTTTACCTTCTCTTGATTTGCCTAATCTTACCTTACGTTTCTTTATTCCAATTATATCCACGTATTTCTGGTACTTACTTTCTTCTCTTTGGCACGTGGATGGCTTTATGATGAATTACGTACAAGTTCAAATTATGAAAGACGACTCTTGCCACGCATATACGTTTCTTCTCTTGCGATCTTTTTTTTCTCTCGAATTTCGAGTCAAAAAGAAATTACTGTTATACTTTTACTGATAGAATACTGAATACTTGACGTGAGTGTCGCCATACTTGTTCCCTGCTTATCTTCGGTGTACGATAAATACACTGACTTGCGTGTTGTGTGAATAAATAGAAGACAAGAAGAAAAGACAAAAAAAGATATTC